TAGTTTTAGAAGGTGGCAGAAGTATTAGTAAGTCTAAAAGATATAACTATATACTTATAGTAACTATAATAGCTCTAAAATATAGTCTTCTATTTATTACCTTCCTTAATATAGATGTGATAATAGATATCTTAGATATTAATCTTACTAAAATATTTAGCTCTAGATAGCCTATTAAGAATTTCTGATATAAGAGGTAAGGGATACTGATTCTTATATATTACTTTATTAAGATCTTAGTAATCTATATATAGTCTAAGTCTACTATCTTTCTTTAGAATAAATAAGATAGGAGCTCCTACTAAACTTTTAGATAGCTAGATTCTTCTATAATTAAGGTTCTTATTAATATAACCCCTTAATTCTTATAACTCTGACTAAGAGAGTAGGTATATAGGGCTAAATAGTGGTATTTTACTAGATTTAAGTTTAATAGCATAATCCTAAGAGGAATAAGAGGGTATAATCTTAGAATTCTCTAAAGAAAAGATATTAAGATACTTATATAGTTTAGGAGGTAATTCTTTAATCTTTAAACTAAAAGGCCTTTACTCTTCTTCCTCTAGGAGCTATACTTATTTAGGTAACTTTATAATAGTAAATAYTATTATATAGTTYTAGTATATCTTTATAAACTTATATAGGGTTAGGATTAAGTAAGTAGGAGTCTTAAACCACTACTAATAATTCTATAGTAAAAGATAGATATAAAGATTATATAATATAGTTATAGAAAGGAGAATAGGGCTTCCTTCTAGTTATAGATTATAATTAATTATAATATATACTTATTTAAAGCTTCTTTTTGTCCCTCTAGAATTATAGATGATAATAGGGACTTTCTAGACCCTATAAGTAGGAGTAATAAAGTTATTAATAGCTCTAATAATAAGGGCTATAAGTTTTGCTTATTATAGTTTCTAGGACTTTATAAAAGTAATACTAATAATATTAACCTTAGTATAACTATCTAGGTCTATATATATTTTAAGACTATTTACTAGGCTTATTAAAATATAAAAATAGTAAGTTATCCCTACTTCTAGATAGGAGATTAAAGATGTAGGTTTTACTCTGACCTTTTATTATTTTCTACTATAAGTAGTTAAACTTTTATAGTCTTTTTAATATATTAATTTACTAAGTATTCTTTACTCCTATACTTATAGTACTTTAAAGGTTTACTATCTTTATTAAATTAGTTTTATTAAAGTTTTAATCTATTATTATTATTAGGATAAAAATATTTAGATAGGTTATCTTCTTAGGACTTTCCTTCCTAAGGTTTTCCTAATTTTTTCTTCTTTTATTTCTATCCCTATTAGAGTAAGGTCTAGTATTTAGATACTTATAATACTATTTTATCTCTAGTATTAGGTAGTATATCCAGGTACTCTTATATATAGGTATATAACTCTGTTATAAGATAACTAAAGAAGTTTAGTGTCTATTACTTTTTAGAATATTAAGAAAAATGCTATTCTAATATATCTAAATAGATATAAAATTCCTGTGGGTCTTTATTAGAGTGTTAATTAGTATTATATAATTATATAATTATTTTTAACTTAATAGTTATAGAATCCTAGATTAAGTTAATTATCTATTCTTAGAAGAACTACTAGAAATACTTAGTATTTTAGTAGTCCTCTATTAATAGTTCCCTAACTTTACTATACTATCTCTGCCTATAGATTAATTCTATTTATAAGATTACAGTAATAATTTTAAATTTATTAGATCTATACTTCTTTAGAGCTCCCTAAAATATATATTCTATATCCTAGATCTATTCTTCCCTCTTTTAGAAGGAATACTTTAAGGTAAAAGTAGGGAGATTCTTAAACTTAACCTCTTATTTATCCTTAAAGGGGATATAGATATTATTTTAGTAGGTAATTAGTTTATATTTAGGTTTATTAGTAGACTTCCACATCTGCTAGTTCTTTTTAAGTATAGTAATATATTAGAATAGCTATTAGATTTCCTTATCAGATATCTGGTAAGGCCTTATAGCTATAGAAGAGGATTTACTTCTCTTAGGAGGTATATTATCTATATTCTTCTATTATTTAGTTAATATATCACTAAGGGGTTCTTATAGTTAAGGTAGAGATGCAGGAATAACCTTCCTTAGTGTATTAATATTAATAGGCATTATAACTAATACTTAGGTAGTTAAAGAAGAAGGATTAGAAATTATAAGGATAATCTACTAGATAGGGTAGATAAGTCTATTAACTAGGTAAGCCTCTTAGAAATAATAAAGGATAGGGTACTTGGTTAGAATAGTATAGTAAAATAGTAGATTTATTAATAATAAGACTAATCCTTATCTTCCTAACCTATCAGATAAGGGGGTCTATATATATCTTTATTACTAATACATTATGTTTATGGTAGTCTTTCGCAAGCATCTTAAGGCATAAAAATAGGTAATTGAAAACAGTATGCTTAACATAGCCATCTGCAAGCATAATATGGATTAAGGGAAAATGACATGGAAGCTATACTCAATCCATTACAGATACCCCTAATAGATGACATTCAATATCCCTACTAGATGGCATTCGATATTGATTCAGTACCCCTAATAGATGACATTCGATATCCCTACTAGA